TGGAGCGCTCGCTTTCATCGTCCGTATCTGAAAGTCTGCGTCGCGCTGCTGCTCGGGAATCGAATCTTCGTTGACTGGTCCGACACAATGCCAACAAAGCCAAAACCGTCACAAGGGAAACAATGGATGCCACTGCTCCAGCTAAAAACTTGCCCCGATGCAGTCCCCGCCGTCGCAGTATGTTGTGTCCACGCCCACGTCCAAGCTGGCGTGAGTACGATGGCGAAACAGGGGGAACGGCTTGAAATGCAATGGTTGGGGCTTGCGGTACTGAAGTGGACAGCTGTTGTTGCAGGCCACCATCTACTGGACGGTCCCGTTGAGCCATTGCGGACGGGAGCAACTCCAAAATCCGCGATAAAAGTGTCGACCGGGAGGCGCTGAAGTTGCCTTTTGGACAGTAAAGTGGATGAGTCTTGCTTGCTGCTACGTGGCCTTCATTTTTCTCATAGGTTGCAGACTAGTTTTCAGGTTCCTGTGTGCCCTGCGGGGTGTACGCAGGATCCCATTAAGGAAAATACGGATGGATTGGGCTATTAAACCCGAATCTCCCGGGAACTCCTTCAAATTCTTATACACTCGAAATCGATATTATGGAAGAATCAGAGCAGGAAACGGCGAACTGCTTGAGGCAGTCACTCTTCGACCCCCCGCCCGCGCTCCCGGCTCTCGGTGGACCCACTGGGTGTATTGCGCATTCTTGTGCCCTTGCCATCCCACTGCATCAAACGTCGTTGCTTAAACTTTACTCACAAAGCCTCCAGTAAATACTGTATTTTTGTGACGCACCCTAACGGGAGCATCTCTCGAGACAGTTCCCCGGGACCAATTTCCGCATCGATTTCCAACGGCACAGCGAGCGGTGGCAACAGCGGTGTGGAATGTAAGACAAGCAACAACACAGCAGCTAGCACTGTACAGCAAGCTTTAAATACTTTTCCTTGTTTTTCTACATTCTACCTGTAACTGTGCGGGGTCATAAAAATTGCCGGATGCCCCTTTGCGCTCGACA